AAGGTTAGTTAGTGTCTGGACGCCTCTACCACTACTGCCGCCTGTACTGCAAAGTCGCCGCGCCTGGTTTTGAGTAGATTTTCCAACCATCTGACAAACACCTCTTGTGCTCGCGAATCTCGGAAATTCTTATTTAAAACTAGACGGGTTCTAAGTGCGCGCGAACTCAACGCTGATATGTGACAAGCTGCGTATGCTTTGTTGCTGTGTTGAGGATAGTAAATGTGGCATACTGATAGGTGTTGTCTGACTCACTGGTGTTTCTGCTTTGAGACCCCGCCTCTAAACTAGTATTCAAATAACAGAATTGAGAAGAAGCAGATGTGATCACTGGGTCAATAGTTTTATTCACCTGACGTTTCGAAATCCGTCGCGGCATCATCCTCAGAGACAATAATAGAAACGGGTTATTCATACACAAGGAGTTGCAGTATTTACTACAACATACAGTCACTATGCTACTGCATATATATGACAATAAACAGTCCCCCACTTTCTATTGGGGATAGTTGACCGCTTGTACGCTAATCGATTGACAGATGGCATGCGGGACGTGACCTGCTGAATTTCGTTGCACGTGCTGAGCTTGGGTCTTTTGGCTTCGTTATCTGACGCCTGTAGCGCTCGAAGACCAGTGACTACCAGTTTTAGGACCGCCTCGGCTATGAATCAGGCGAACCAAGTTCTTGTCCCAGCGTTCACATCTGCTTCTTCTCAATTACTTGCTGGAAATCGCATTTTCGTTCGTATTGGCAATAATAGAATTCCTACAGAATTAACCAAACACCTATCCGTTGCCTTCCCAAAGCACAACCTCCGAGTAGTAGAAGATGCGACCACTGGAAAAGTAGCTTTATTTTCCTGACGTTTCGGATTCCGTCGGGAATCCTTAATCATAGGTGATGGTATCATTGTCATAGTCACGCGCAGATAGGGTTGAAACATGCACAGATTGTACGGCATTTATAGTACGTAGCGGTCATCCGCGTGCGTACTGAAATTATCCGTCCGTCTCCTGTAGTCACCGCTTGGCGTCTTTATTGGTGCGGTGATGGTTTGACACTTCGTGTTCGACTCGTTAATTGCCGCTATTTTTTTGTCCATGTTGGATGCGGGCTTCGTAATTGCGCGACAATTGTGCTCGCTGTCGTCTGAGTTGTTGCTGGGCCCGGCCCTTCCCACGTGACTGATTCTCTTGCTCAGGCAATGTCTCAGTGCGCAATATGGGAACGCCAACTCGTTGCGCTTGCTGATAGACTGGGGGCCTGAAAACCATGACTCGAGCAGTTAGCGGCTCACGCGGTTGTCACCTGTTGGGAGGATTTCGGCGTCGTTAAACTTGAAAATGTGGCCGGGTCCCGTCAAGTA